GTAATTTGTGATTTCTCTTCCTAGCCTTGCTGTCGCTTGTGGCTCTGTTTAGAGTAGGATCTGAGTAAACTGAAATTTAAAGGTGAAGTGAAAATTTCCATCAAGTAATTTTGATGTGGTTGTTTTGGGTTATTGTCAATGGAGATTAATATGAAATTAGTTCTTCACTTGTAATTTCTCTTGGCAAATGCATAATTCTGTCTTCCCGTTTAAAATGTCATTATGCGAATATGGCATTGAACTTCCTATTTCTCATCCTCTCTTATCTCTCTCCTTAGATGTGTGGTTTATTATGTAGTTTCCTAAAACTATGACGATTTTTATGGAATTTGAAATTCATGAACTAATCTCATGCTTATGGGGATTTTGCTCTTGCACGTTGTATACATATTTGAAAGTGCTGACTTGATAACCCTTGAATGGTACCTTTCTTTTGCCCCGCTTTACCCTTTGCTCATGTCCCATTGTCGTGGTAGCTTGTTAGGAAGTTTGAATTGTTCAAATTATTGTTATAAAAGAACTTTTGGAAAGGGAATTAAAACAAAAGACACTTGGTAGTTTGTGACGTTTCATTAAGCACTGAGGAAGGTATAAACGAGATGGGAAGGTTTTTCTTTTGTTCTTGTTAGATTATTGTTAAGTTAATACTTTAATAAAAAAATTGTTGGCTATACATGTATGTATAGTTATGACGTTATTTGGATTTAATTTAAATGTTGCTAATTGTTTGAGAAAATTAATTGACATGTGAAATTGAAGGAGGTAAAGAACTAATGAGGATGAAAAGAACCTTGTTGATTGTTGATGGGCATATTAAACACATGTATTTATAGTAAGAAAAGAATAAATAAGTGATTTTAAAATTTTGATTAACTTATTAGGAAAATTAATGGTACTGTTGAAATTAAGTTTGAAGTTAAAGTGAAGCAAGCATTAGAATTATTAAAAAACTCTAAAGTAAGTGGATAGCATCTTAACTAATTTTTCAATAAAAATTTCCTTCACAATAGTAGAATTTTTATGAAAATTGTTTTAATAACAATGATGTGTTTATTGAATAGTTTGTTTATTAAATTTCTTTATTTTGTAAAATTACCTTTACTAGTTTTAAAATTTTAATTGATTAATAACTACAAGTTTGAATTTTGATTATGAGATTTCATTCTATTAAATATTTGATTGATATAGAGAACGATTTTTGTGAGTTTAACTTTGAAAATGAGAACGTTATTTATTATCGATGATTTTCTCGTATGTTTGAAATTGAATTTAAAAGGGACTTATTACAGAGCATTGGTTGCTAATGGCAGTTCCATTACCCTTTAGCACACCATGGTTATGATTAGCTAGTTTGACTTTCGTGAGCATCGCACTCATGCTTGTTATTCGTGGGTTTCATACCTGCGTTTGATTATGTGGTTTCGAGCCGCATTTGGTTAGCGTTACCCTCGTGAGCTATGTGTCCACATTTGTTTTTGTGGCATAAGCTGCATTTGGTTATTTACTCTCGTAGACTGTGTGTTTACATTTGTTACTTGTTCAGATAAGTCCCAATAATTATGATTTTTTAATTATTTGATAGATCTATTTTTTTCATTAGTTTTGATTAATGACATATTTTTATAATTATTTTATGTAATTATTTGCTTTATTAAAATTACATGATAATGACGTTTGACATGATACTTTAATGAATTCAAAATTTATTTAAAATTACATAAAGTCCTTTTGTGACGAAATTTATTAAATATTTGTTTGCAAAAATTGTTATTTCTAGCACACATAATTATGTTAAAGTTTCTTTTTATATACATTTAATTATTTATTGTTGGGATGCTATTAACTGAAAATTTATTTTGGTCTCAGATTTATCATTTGAAATTGATCCTATTGCTGACCTCTGAGGGGCATACAATTGTTCTGGGTGGAATTTTGTTTAGCACTATTTCTCTTTTGATGTAAATATTTGAATTCATGTATTTTATTTTGGAAATAAGGTTAGATGCTCTATGTAGCCTATAACTAGGATTCTATTTTGATATATGCTATTTGCTAGCTGGAAGGAGTTAATCTGCTAATTAATACTATGTTTTGTGTAAGATAGTATGTTATAAAATTTTTGGAAGATCCTATTTACTAGGAGTTTTTGCTGAAATTTTTGAAAAATTATTGAAACTTTTATTATAATAATTTTTATTATGTCATAATTTTAGTACAAATTCGATTATGTTTTAAAAGTGAAAAAATTTCCCAATTTAAGGCTTAAGGGATATGTAATAGGGTTCACATCCTGTGCTGGTCATCCTTTATAATTTCTGGGTGTGACAAAATCATTGTTAGGGACTTGATAGTAATTGTCCCAAAAAAAGATTTATCACAAATTTTCAATGATTCTAGGTGTATTTACCTGGAATTTTAATTTTATTTTATATTTTACTTTTTAATGTAATATTATATTTTCCTCGATAAAAGAAAATACTCCCTCCGTTAAAAAATGTAAGACTTTTTAACCGAATCTCAGCTCCCAATAAAGTGATTAACTACTTTCAAACTAATATTATCTTTTTATATTTACTTCTATTAAACACCCTATAATAAATATAAAGTTACTATCAATAAGGGCACTTTTAAAAAAAAGAAAATGATTACACCTCGAAAGACTATAAATGTCTAACTTTTTTGAATATATAACTTCTTAAAAAATGCCTTATATTTTTTAAACGAAGAAAGTATTTTTTTTTTTTTTGCTTTGATTTTTATAAACACTGAGCTTCTAAAGTTTTTAAAGCCGGCCCTCCGCTCTGATATTTCAATGTTGGATCCGTACAGGATTTCCAACAGGCTACTTGATTAATTATAGCACGTTAGAAAAATTATTAAAGTAAGTAGTCATTGTTATCATGATTCAAATGAATTAATTACATAATCATATAAATATATGCCGAATCATTTTTTATAAATCTCTTTTATTTTTATCTTTAAAATATGTTCCCTTATTCATATAATCAATTTATTTTAGAAAGACAGCTAATGTTCTAACATTTTTCAAAAGACAACGTAGTTTGACCCCTTATATATGTAATCCGAGCTAAGATTCAAGAATCAAGCTTCATCATAATATCTTTGTAACCTAACCTTGGGATACTTAGATAGTACACTCCATAATTCACCAAGGGCATGTGGAAAAAATGATTTTGTTTTATGTATTAATTTTTTAATTACTTTTATTTAGTAATTATATTTAGAAACCATATAGGTCCTATTTATTATATGACTGAAAAACCGGAAAGAAAAAAGATTTCCTCTCCATTGATGAATAAAAATGTGGTCTAAATTGTCATCTTTATTAGCGTAATGCCATTTAATAGCAATCACCAAAAAATTTAAATTCCAATCCCTCATCTACATACATGTCCACTTCTCTCAAGCTGGTTATTCTTACTTCCTAGCCATCTATAAAATCAACAATTACTATCATATGTTATATGAACCAAGATTTAATACCTATAAGAACAACAACAATAACAAGCCTTATCTCACTAAGTGAAGTTGGTTATATGGATTGCATTATGCTATTGTACTTTATTATTTACCAAGCTTTCAGGAATGTTATTAACTAAAAAGTCTTAGTCAACAACTTTTATATGTGTTCTCTTTGGCCTTCCTCTACTCATATTTCTAGTGCTCAAAATTATTTATTCTACTCTTCTTACCGGTGCCTTCTGTAATCTACTCTGTACATATCCAGTCATCTCAAACAATTTCTACCATATCTCCCTCAATAGATGCTATGCTTACTTTTTCTTGTATATACTTTTTTCAGATTTTATCTTTAATGTAATAACCCAGTATTTAATTAAAATTAAAATTGATGGTAAGGTATTGTGAGGATTTATATACATAAATATTTAAGTACAAATGTACTAAGGAGGTGAGTTAATCTAGTGGTAATTGAACCTTTAAAATTTTATAAAACTCATAATTGTTTACTCATTTATTATAGTATAATCTCGCATTACTCTTGGATATTGATCTTTTAAATTTTCATTCCAAGGAAATTCATATCCTTCGCATTCCTTTATGGTGCGAAAATCATAATAACATGAGAGGAAATCAACAACAAAGGCCATACAATTATCCTCAACAAGGAAGAAGAGGTTAATTTGAGCCACATAGGAATACTTATAATTCTAATTGCAGAAATCACCCCAATTTGAATTATAGATCTAATCAAGAGGTTTCTATTTCAAGGAATAGTCAAATACGTTCTATCTAGGACTCTTCCAATGATAGCAAGTTTTTCTCACTTTTGGAGAGGATGAACAACAATATGACAGAAATGAATTCAAGGCTGGAAGCTCATGTATCCAATGCTGATTCTAAACTCAACAAAGTGAACTATTAATTTGAAGCTTTGATTAAGAGGTTAGATAAATTAGAAACTAAACAAGAGCCAACCAAGATTAATATGAATCAAATGGCAAGTGGAATCTCCCAAGATAAAAATCAAGGAAAGAATGTCATGAACATTAGTGCCATTGAATTGAGAAGTGGAAGGAAGCTTGAAGCACTAACTAGCTCTCGGCCAGATTTAATTTTTGATGATAATGATTCTTCTTCCTCTCATTTCTCCACATTTCCTTTAGTTGAAAATGATTCTAGGGGTGCTAATGAAAGTATACAAGTTCCCAATCATGAGGAAAGCACCCCTAGATCTTGTCACTTGCCCCCCTGTCCTTTACCAGTCTCAAGTAGCTTGGCTAGGGGGTGGAAAGGACGAACTTCATTTTGAAGTAGCGGGATATCTTTTAATTGCTAAGACCACCTCATTTCAAAACCTGATTCACTAGCCTTTTAGTCTACCTACGCTATTATTAATCAATAATGTCGTTCTTTCATATATCCACCACTTAATCTCTACATAGAGATACAAATAAATGAACAACCAATATAGAGCACCAAATAGGTTGAAAAAAAGCAGGAAAGTCAAATCCAAGGACCATGCAGCTCCCACCAAAGCAAGAAAAGCTGCAAGAATAGCTGATCCAGTCCTGGAAGACTGGCTGCCATCGTAATGGCGATATGCGAATTAGAAAGGGAAGGCACGTAGCAAAGCAATTCATAATCCACTTTTGTATACGCCCTCTTGACACCAGTACCTCTGTCCCGACATTTAGTTAGATAGGGGGAATGCCTACCAAAGGTAAAGGGGAGCCTTCATGCAAATCTATTGAAGGGTCACCTACGTTAGCTAGTGTCCACAGTGCCAAAGTTTCAACCACGATCCTTTGGCTCCGTGCTGGTAGCCGGCTTGTTACTCCAGGTTCTAGTTCATACGAACGTCTGTTACGTGCGTCCCTAGGACTGGGCCGGATTCGAACCGACTAAGAAAAGGCAAGTCAAGTGCCATTCTTCTAGGCCAAAGATAGTCCAATCTCATCTATGTCGAAGGGGCAGGTACGTAGTCACTCGAGCGAAGCGACAGCTAATATCATATATGAGATTCTCCATTTAGATGGGGCTAGGTAGCACTAAGAACTTCATTCGTACTATCTTGGCAAAGAGTGAAGGTTTAATATTTGTTCTATAAAGTCCTCGTTTTCGTGTAAAAGCCAAATTGTTAAGACCAAGCAAGGTCACTGAGAACACTAACGAAACACCTTCTTATTCCCACTGAAGCTAGTATGCAATGAAGACCCATCCACGAGCTACCTTATGACATAGCAGAGACAGAAATTGCATCTCCGTCTTTGGAATTGAAAAGGAATGTTTCTCTTATAGGAAAATGTAGCTTAGCGATATAAGAATACGAACTTCTCGCTCAATAAGACTAAGCAAGCAAACAAACCCCCTTCATTTATCTTCCTGCTCCTGCATTGGGAGTTAGGAGTCTCAGTCCGTCCCTGTATTACTCGAAAGCCGTAGTTTACTGGTCTTATTTGACCCCTCGAAAAATCAGCAACTTTCTAACGAGGCGGCTACCCCCTCAACGTTTTGAATAGGCATTTGGGACCGGGAACAAGAAGTTGTTTCGGTGCACTATTGGAGAGCTCTTTGGGTACTACACCTCAAGGGCACTTTCTCAATCGAAAATGGAAACTGTCAAGATTAGAGCATACTGCGATTCTTATCGTTATCTATGTAATTTCAGGATCCACCTTTGGTACCACATTCTGGCACTAATCCCATTAGATGGTACATATGAGAGAGAGAAGAACAAGCTTGGCAGCCTTGGTGCGCTCCCTAGAGGTTGGCAATCTCTCTCTTTTAATGCATTAATGCTTATCTGCGCGTCATCTGCATTTACAAGTTTGATTCTTATCTGTTTACCAGGCTTTTACCATGTCTCCCGAACAATTTCAGTACATATGGTGCAAGACAATTCCACATATCGAGGTCGGAATGGGATCGGGTGTTTTCATGTCTCACCGTAGTGCCCAGTTTGTCTTGATTTTCGATTGATGAACAAGAAGGAACGAACTCCCTGAAGGGAGAGGATGGAGGGAACGATTTTATTTTTTGACTCGCCCCCGGTGTCCTTTGGACCCAAAGCCTGCCCGCATTCCAGCAAGCTAGCCCCGTAGGTTGGGGGAAGAGGGCATTTCCATCGTGAAAGATTCAATCCAGCCACAAGTTCCCCTACGGCTACCTTGTTACGACTTCACCCCAGTCGAAGACCCCACTGTGGTATGCGCCAATAAGACCACCAAAAGCCTTTGTGGCACTAGTGGTACACAGAAGTCATGGGTGATCATTGGTCTAATACTTCAGGCGAAACCTATTCCTAGGGTGTGACGGGCGGTGTATACAGGGCCCGGGTACATATTCACCGTGGCATGTTGATCCGCAATTACTAGCGATTCTAACTTCATGTTCCCGAGTTGCAGAGAACAATCCGAACTGAGGCAATCTTTCCGGATTCACTCCGCCTTACAGCCTTGCTTCCCATTGTAATTGCCATTGTAGCACGTGTGTGGCCCAGCCCATAAGGGCCATGCGGACTTGACGTCATCCCCACCTTCCTCCAGTATCTCACTGGCAGTCCCTCGTGAGTGCGGCATGCACCTTTTAGTTTGTTTCGGAGCCGTTTTGGCAGGGCGTACTAAACCCACTACGTACCACACCACCGCGCGGCTCGCCTGAATGCCGAGTCTTTCTCCTTAGCCAACCAACTCGACGTCGTCGTCACCTGCAAGATAAGGCCAAAAAATGGACTTTACTAAACAAGTGCCATTAGCCCTCGCCTTTGATCTGATAGGGCGCTCGAGCGACCCATTACATTAGAAGGTCTCTCCAGCTTATTCGATAGGGGCGAGCTGCTCCGCTCCTTTCTATTTAGTAAAGCGCGCTAGCTGCAATCAAAAAACAAACAGCGCACAAACAAAAGTGCTTCAAATTTGAAAGGCGCCGGCTCCCTTCTTACTGACAGCTACGTGCTGGCACTCAATTAGTAGCGTTGGCGCATCACTCGACTCATCGGCTCACTTCGGTTCAAAGACTTTCTCCTTAGGCACATGTCTCAGCAACACAAAACGAGGGTTTTGCTCGTTATAGGACTTGACCAAACATCTCACGACACGAGCTGACGACAGCCATGCAGTACCTCTATGAAAGTCAGTACCATCCCGTTAAGGACAGGTTTTGTTGTTCATATATCAAGGGCTGGTAAGGTTTTGCGCGTTGTATCGAATTAAACCACATGCTCCACCGCTTGTGCAGGCCCCCGTCAATTCCTTTGAGTTTCGGTCTTGCGACCATACTCCCCAGGCAGAGTGTTTCACGCGTTAGCTGGGCCCCTGATCCACGTAGACTAAGGGCGAACACTCATCATTTACGGCATGGACTACCAGGGTATCTAATCCCGTTCGCTCCCCATGCTTTCGCACTCCAGCGTCGGTAGGGACCCAGAGAGCTGCCTTCGCTTTTGGCGTTCCTTCGTAGATCTATGGATTTCACCCCTAACACATGAAATTCCACTCTCTTCTATCTCACTCAAGTGAATTGGTTTCGAGAGCATTCCACCAGTTTTTGGTGACTTTCACTTTCAACCCGATTCACCGCCTACGTGCCCTTTACGTCCAGTCATTCTTGGTAGGAGGGAACTACTTACTGTAGAAAAGGTTCATTACTATTTACTCTATAGTTTATCCAAGATTATCTTGTTAACTAAGAAGGGCCATACTTTCACTGATATGGTTAGTCCTATAGCTCTAGTAACTACATGCCTAGCTTGAAAGCTAGTAACTACGTGCCTATAGCTTCGCTATAGTAACTACGTGCCTGCCAGAGAATGTCTTACTTCCTTCTATTCGGTCTCTAGGGGCTTCTAATGCATTTTCAGGTCTGAATGTGGACGATTCCCCATATGACTCATTAAACGTCGATTTATCAGTAAGAAGATTGCAGTCTTCTTCTTTTCTTGCTGGGATTAGAATTCAGCCTTAGGAAAGCAACCTATCTTATAGCCTTCCTGTCCCTCACGTGATCATCTCCTACCCCCCTTTTGGGATGAGGAGGCCTATGAGCCCTTAGTGTGCCCTTAGGCTGTCCTTCTATCTTGAAAGCGTCCAATAAGGGAGAGTCACTTTGCTGATGAAGATGGGGAAGATACCTTAGCCATACAGCCATACATAGGCTTCGCTCTTCCCGTGGTACTTTCCCTCATCAACTGGGGAAATAGGCTAAACTCCTCTTTCTATTCTATAGCTGTCTATTGAATAGTGAATAGAGGTCGATTCCAGTGGAAGAATGGAAGAAAGAATCAATTGAGCTCAACCTTAGCACTAAGCGTCTTCAAACCTCTTCCCCTATCTCTATAAGGCCGTTGGTGAAACTAAGAATGAATATTCCTTTTCTTTCTAAGTGTAACTGGACTCAATCAATAAATCGAGTTAGATTCGGTACGCATCGAAGGTGGGACTCTTTCCCTCAGCAACAACGAATATGCCGTTGGATTGATTCCCCTATCTCTATAAGGCCTATGCTACGGTTCAATACCAATTTCATACCTGATTGCAGGATTCATAAAAAAGAAGGAAAGGCGCGATAGCTACCCCTATCAGATAAAGGCAAAGCGAGAGAAAGGAAGGCAAGCATAAGCTTTGAAACGTAGGAAGGTAGACCGAAGAAGCAACGGCTATCGCCCCTCTCCAGCTTATTATTTAGGGGCGAGCTACATAGTAAGCAAAGCTTACAGAAAGAGAAAGAGTTAAATAAAGGAATCGAAACTCTGATTTATCTGATTATCATATGTGAACAAGAAATCAAACTCAATAGCGTTAGCTTAATGCTTGGGCATAGGTAAGTTTACTTGTAGCAAGCTACAGGAAGAATCGCCTCTAAGAAAGAGAAATGCATAAGTTCCAATTCCTTGGATCAATTTGAGATAATCCCATATATATTATATTCACTCAATCCCTACCTTTGCATCTTTCTTCTCCGAACCCGATAGAAAAATGCTTGACTATCTCCCCGAATGAGACAGATTTCCTCTCTCTGCTCTGGAATCAGGAAGGAGAATGCCACTATGGGAAAATAGAATGAGCATGTGTCAGCCTATGCTCAGGGTCACTCTTTTAATAATCTTTCTAAAGTCAAGTCACATCTTTTCGAACTTGATTGAATTCCGGGCGGGTCAATCAGAGATACACTAAAAAGAAAAATAAATGAGCTAGATTCGCCACCGGTTAAGGAAAAGAAGGAGCCCAGATTGGATCACCAGCTAAGATAAGCTCAGAAATCGGAATTGGCTAGACTAGATAAGCTCGTTAGGTAAAATAAGATACATTATGGATTCTCGTTTGGGTTAAGGATCCCCCTTTCCCAATCGGAAACCAATTGTATTAGTTTGTATTAAGAGTAAAGTCAAGAAATCAAATCTGGATAGTTTTTCAGCTTTGGAAATTCCTTATGTTTTGAAGGTGTTCCATATCCAGAATTTACACCAAAGGAAGCCCAAAATGTTCCTTCATATCCCAAAGATGATTTTCATGCTTTACATCATCCAAATAGTAGCTCAAATGGTGAGGAAACATCAAACTCCAAATCTAGACAGTTTGAGATCAAAGAGG